CCAAACGCCACGAGGTCCTCTCCTAGGCGATACACCCAGTCGCTCTCCTGCCCGCCCCGGTATCCGGTACCCCCCGCCATCGCTCCCAGCAGCATGCGCTTGGGGAGGCGGTTTAGTAGTGCCTGGTGCTGGTACGTTACCCTTTGATTTTTTTCTTCGTTTTCCTTTGTTTTTGTTTTTCTCTTATTTTGATCGGTTTCCGAGGGCTCTTTTCTCGAACGGTCGGTGTGATACCTGTTCTTTTCTTTTTCCGAGTGGTTTGTGCCCTATTTTTGTGTTGTTTCCCCGCGGCGTCGTATGTGCCGGGTTTGCGGCGTCGTATGTGCCGGGTTTTGAGACCATGGGCTCCCCATTTTTTGTGGACTATAGAGCTAATGTGAGAAACAACAACAACAAAAACAACAACAACAACAACAACAACAACAGCAGTCGAGAGAAGGTTCAACCCCTTCCGTCGGTCTGAGACAACCGAACCTTAGACCTTAGAAAACGTTTTGGTTCTAAGTCTAAAACGACGTATAGGCGCATAAAAAAAAAAGAAATACAAAAAATCGGTTCGGATCATGTCGAACTTGTTTTTTCGGCGCGTTCCCGATCTCGCCGCCTCCATTTCTCCTCGGCAATCGACTCCGCTTGGCCGATTTAGGGAGGGTAGAGAAAGTTGGTTTGACCAAAATTGGCCGCGGGAGGGGGCCATATATGAGTGGGGCTGGGGCTGGAGCTGGCATCCCAGCGGGCAACTGCATCCGCATCGTACCGCTGGGATACAAGCAGTGGAAAGTAAAGCACCAATGGGTTCCACACGCCCCAGGCCTCAAGCTCACCACCAAGCTGATGGACCAGCGGAAGGATCCCAGCGTTATCGACCAGCTGGTGGCCTACCCCAAGGATGACGAGGATGCCTTATGTTCGAAAGCTAGGGAAAAGGCCGAGAAAATCTTGAAGACGAGAAGGGACAAATACGAACAATCACTGCAGCGCAGCAGCGGCGTGCGAAGATGCGGCAACATCGGCAGGAGGGCAGACAGCGAGATGGGCTATCCAGTAAGAGCGGCTTTGCCGCGGAAGACTCGTGCTGCCGTTACAAGGCCGACTGCTCCCGGTCGCCCCCCTGAGGAAGAGGTAAGGATCTGCTGCTGCTGGGTGTAGCTGGGTCTATCTGTCATTCTCTCGCTATCCCCTCTTGAACCCCTCTCCTCTTCTGTTGTACTAGATGTAAAAACAACCACTTGAGGGTACTGCTGTGTGGGAAAATAAAACTGACAGATTGCCTGCATGTGCTGGCACCCCTTTGGTTGTAGACTGCTGTCCACTCTCTCTACCATTCTACCGTAGATGCCTGCCGACTGCTGAAGACAACAATGAGTGTTCGCTGTGATGCGAGACTTCTTCTCTACCTCCAGCGTTGTGGATTGCTCTCGCTCGACGTGTTGTGTGCCACCGCTGGCGCAACTTCCAATTGCCATCTACGGCGAGTATTCGAATCGAAGTATAAATTGAACCACAGGTTATCATTCTTGATTTCTTCTGCTGCTACCCCAGCGCTGACGTTTCCAAATGCCCCCACTGCTGCACGTTGCACTGGACCCACCCCGCCGCTCAAACCTTCCAGCCACCAGAGCAGTCGAGTGGAATGACACCTCGCCAGCATTCGTCGCGGCGATGAGAGCGATGACCACAACGGAGTTGTTGCGGTGTCTGGCAGAGCTAAAGGTGCCCGCCGCTGACAAGCTTCGAGAGCAGCTGGAGGAAGCGAGGGAGCTCCAATCGGCATGTCGTAAAGCCTCAAAGGATGCCGCAATCCAAGGGCGAACCAAAGAGGGAAGGAGAACGTTCCAGACGTTGCTCATGGCTGTTGCGTACGATAGAGACGGGCCTTCGAAGGTGACAGCCAAGCGCAAGTCCGAGATCTTTGGCGTTCACGCAGAGAAGACCTCGTCGCCGCCCGACGGCGGGTGACAGCGCTGAGGCCTGATCTCCCTCCACTTCAGGCAATCGATGAGAAGGCGTACTACTTCCACTCCCGGACCAAGANAAGCCTCAAAGGATGCCGCAATCCAAGGGCGAACCAAAGAGGGAAGGAGAACGTTCCAGACGTTGCTCACGGCTGTTGCGTACGATGGAGACGGGCCTTCGAAGGTGACAGCCAAGCGCAAGTCCGAGATCTTTGGCGTTCACCCAGAGCACCTCGTCGCCGCCCGACGGCGGGTGACAGCGCTGAGGCCTGAGCTCCCTCCACTTCAGGCAATCGACGAGAAGGCGTACTACTTCCACTCCCGGACCAAGAGGAGCGACGCCGCGGAAACTCATGCATTCCAGACGTCATGAAGAAGGATTGGGAGTTGGCGAGGGGAACGGAGACGGGGAAGGTGGCGGGAACGGAAATGGTTNTGGCTGTTGCGTACGATAGAGACGGGCCTTCGAAGGTGACAGCCAAGCGCAAGTCCGAGATCTTTGGCGTTCACGCAGAGAAGACCTCGTCGCCGCCCGACGGCGGGTGACAGCGCTGAGGCCTGATCTCCCTCCACTTCAGGCAATCGATGAGAAGGCGTACTACTTCCACTCCCGGACCAAGAGGAGCGACGCAACCCCCCATAATGATGGAGCTCATGGGGGCGTTCTGGCTCACCGACGAGGTATCTCGTGCATCGGGGAACTCCAAAGACATCTGGCGGGAATCCAAGTCGCCCAGTGCGAAAGGACACCCTCGTCGGCAGCTCATTGTGGAGGGACAGGGTGATGCAGTCTACGAAAAGTTCGTGGTGTGGTCAGGTTGGATCAACTTGAAGAAGGTCTGGAAGGAGGAGAACGGCGAGGACCTGCGGACCCCGGCCGCACTCTGTTCCTCTCGACGCGGTTCAGGTGCTTGACTTCGGCCGAAGACAGACCAGTGCGCGTGCAAGATCCACACGCAGCAAACTTATTACCTGGCTGCGCTTCGTGAGGTGGACGTGCAGGGGCGTGACGCGTGCAACTGTCGGTGGTGCAGCGTGGAGAATGGAGGCTCCGAGTGAAAAAAGATGTGGTTGAACCTTGGGTCTTTCTCGGAAGCCATTGCGTGCCAAAGGTTGACCTGCGAGCTGGGGACGCCGACGCTACGCGTGGGTACATGGGGCGGAAGCCGGAACGCGGTTCTTCGGACTGTGACGTCTGTGGGTTCGGGCGGGAGGGGGGCATTCCCACATGCAAGGCACTGGAGGAGTCGCAGCAGCTGGTGGAGTGGACGCGCTACGATGATCTAAAGAGGGAGAGAAGAACCCGCTGCCGAACCAACTAAATATTAGTGACCAAGGAGGGCAAGCTCTGTGATTTTTGGACGGATTTCAAGGAGCACAGCAAGGTGTACATGGATCACCACACGAAGGCCATGTGGGGGAGGAACTGCCACAGGGAGGACATGTACACGTTCCCAAACGGCGACCTGGTTATCGAGATGGACTTCATCGAGAAGTTCGAACTTGTCCCTCCATCCGTTCTGACGTGTGCGAGACACGAATCGACCACCCTCATGGTCGCAGTGGTACACTTCAGCCCGCAGGTGTTGGAAGGCGGCGGCAGGGTGCACCTCGCCGAGACGTGGATCTTTGCTTCCGAAGATCCTCGCCACGACTTTGACTTCCACCTCCATGGGATGGGTCAAATCGCCGATCACTACCTGGACGGAGACGGAAGCGCAGCAACTGCGGCCGCTCGAAAGGAGAAGCGGACGCCCCGCATGCACATTATCACGGACGGCTGCGCCAAGCAATACAAGAGCAAGCGGAACTTCCGGTTTCTGTCGGACAGCGTGCCGCAGCTCGGCTACATCGTCGAGCACCATTTTGCGGTTACGTCTCACTTCAAAGGCAGCCACGACGGCATCGGCGCCATAGCCAAGGGTGCCATGAAGAGAGAGATGCTCAAGCCAGGGGGTAAGCTCATCATCGGCGCGGCCGGCGTGGTGAACTTCTTGGCCGAGTAATTAGAGAGCATCGGAGACAGGACGCTAGCTGACTTCTTCGCCTCGTGGACGCCGTATCGCATTCGACGCGTGTGCGTGAAGATCGTCGGACCAACGGAGATCTATCGGCCGGAGCCGGTCCTGAAGGGAATTAAAGGTACGCGGAACACCTACGTCTTCATCGGGGCGAACACGGCGAGAGACGCTTCCACCACCACCAGGCTCAGCGGAAACTCACGCATTCCAGACGTCATGAAGAAGGATTGGGAGTTGGCGAGGGGAACGGAGACGGGGAAGGTGGCGGGAACGGAGCTGGTTGTGCTCACGGCGAGGAAGGTTGGGGAGGAGGAAGAGGGCAGCGTGC